ATCTGCAAATATACATACCATGTGCTAGTGTTCAACACAAGACAGGTTGTAAAAGCAGTATTTTCAAACTTTGCAATCACATAACCAAATAAGCCACAGAATATTTAATACCTTAGCTATTTTTCATAGAATTCAAGGATACATTGACAGATGTACAGTATGAAGTTACAGTATGATTCAGAGGCCAAGGTACTTTGTCTCATACATTTGAATATTTTAAAAATATGTGCAGGGCCATGGCCTGATTTCTTGGTAGAAGACTTGAAACTTTAAGTGCACACATATTTATTGTTTATTAATAATCCTTTTTTTCTGAGTAATTAAGTACTACAATTTTGGCTTAGAAAGACAGCATTAGCCCTAAATGAACATCTGACATTTTAGGATCTTTTAAATAGAAACAATCAAGTTACCTAATTAGAAAAAAAAAAATTTACATGTAACAAAATAATTGCTATCCTAAAAATTTCAACTTTAGATAAAGCACTCTTGATACACCTAGGAGAGCTTACGTTAAGACAGTCTAATCAGTGTTCACCTAGTGACCCATGCTAAATTTAAATACTTTGGACCAAGCTGAAGTTTATCTGAAAATGCTGACTGTGATGCCAACAACAATGGCATAAACAAAGCATGTTTGTCTATTGTCTAGCTTTAAATAGATGACCTGTATTGGTACCCATCTCTACATCATTTCTCGGTGGTCTTTATCAAGTTTCCAGCTATAATACTTTTTCTCTATGGTTCAGTTCATGTGTTTCAGTTGTAAAATCTTCAGTGTAATAACCATATTGCAAATAGTGTTTACTCAGTTGAACAGCATCCTCTCCATCTCTTGACTAACACACCTGAGACACATTTCTGAGAAACACTGAATTCCCTTCTACTTTGAATTGAGTGGGCTAATGCAAAGAGAAGTTGCTTTTTACCTCCTTCACTATGAGTCAAAAGAGTTAAATCCTGTACAAATACTTCTTTTCTTAAGCCACGTGATATAAATTTTTCAGTCTAAGGATATGACATTTTTAAGACAGGCCTCTTACTTGAGAAGCCTGCTTTTGGAAATGCTCACCTGGACTGTCATGCTCTATAAAATACACCTGATGTTGATCTGTTCAGACAAGCCTATTAATACTAGCTTCAAGATTATTTTCTTAAGCTGGCTGTTAAAAAGAACTAATGACAAATATGAGTATGTATTACTAGACACCCAGTAGCCCTATTCTAACAAGGGTCACCACATTTTCTCCTCATCTTTCAGTCTATCTCAGCGCATGTACAAACAGTGACACTGATGGGAGGTAGGTTGACTAGACCGTTTCCAGACATCCCTTCCAGTCTCAGCCATTCTGTGAACTAGATACTTCTCCCTGGAGCAACACACGCTTAACACACATGCAGAAGACCATGGAAAGTTTTGTATTTACTTTATCTTTACCCGTAAAGCACATGTAGACCCTTCGGTACAAGTTTTATATTGCAAATTTTCGTGTGGATTATATAATATTTAATTCCTAACTGAAAATTACTTACTGAATTAAAAATTAGAAGCAGCTAAGATCTCTACGTGAGGATGCTTTATTTAAAAACAGCAGCAGCATTACTATCTGAAACAGCGTAGCTTACATCTCACCAAGAAAGATTAGTATTATCTTTGTTTCTGGTTACTGGATTTTTGGATTATAAAAATCTTACACAGTTAGCCCTTCATGAAGCACTGTTAGGGATTAAAAACATCTTATGAACATGTTCTATGTAATGAAATTGTAACAATTCAACTTCATTTTACCCAGAGCTGGAGAAGCATGCCAATTAAAAGCTCCGTTTTGAGGGTTTAATATCAGCAGGTTGAAAACGGGTTAGGCAATAAACTAGCAAAAAGATGCTCAGCCCAGAGAGGAGATTTTTTTTTTTTTTTTTTTTTTTAAAGTCAAGCACACTTTAAATCTCCTAAGCTGTTTATAATGATAGAGTTGCCAAAAATAGCCCAGCTAAAAAAATCACGGAATTGGCTGCATCTGTTACACAATAAAAAGAGCTCCAAAACATTGCAGAATATTAGAAAAAGGTCTTAAAAAAAACCCCAAAATCAACAAGTAAAGATGACATATTCTGGAGGTTTGTTTTTTATTTGTATAAAAAAAATCAGTGCATCCACTTTAGGTACAACTGTATATTCACATCCATGAATAGTAACATTGCCTGTGAGTAAATACTCTGAATTTTTCAGTCAAAACGCACCACAGTAGCATCAAACGTCGCGATTCCTAAGTCTTTTGGACAACAGGATTTCAGCATGCAGACTATTTTCCTGCACCCTCATCAATTCCTCCCTCCTAATTAATATGATTCTAATGTGTACCAGGACCTATTTATTCTTAATGAGGTTTTGTTCCAACTCAGAAATGGTAGTGCAGGTGAATACTGAGTCACAAGAATCCTCTCCTCTTCACTAGCTCTACCTGAACCAACCAAAAATTCCACTGACTCCATTGAGAAATAACACAGTATGAATTGCACTCCTCTCTTTGCTGGTGTAGTAAGGCTGCAACGCTCCTACTACGCTAACAAAGAGCAGAGCTAAACAAACAGGAGAAGCATTTAGCAGTCTTCTGTAAAGTCTATCCAGGCTGCACAGAGCGAGACACAAGACTAGATGTGGGTATACTATAGTAATACCAGCACCTTATTTTGGCCCTGTTTGGCAGAGTGTATTTAGAATCACAGTACTATCAGTACCATATAGACAGTTACATACAGGTTGGTTTTTTTGTTTTGCTTTTTTTTCTTTTTTTAATTTATATCAGCTGACTACTTCTATGAGTCACTCGTCCAACTCTGTGCAGACTAACACAAATTAAAGGAGATGTGGTGAGAACACCGAACAGGTATTTTTGGAAGAGGCACAATGAGACTCAAGGTGCAATTTCATGCTTGGTTAAAGGCAGGCTACAACTGCTGCTACTAGAAGAGGAGTCAACCTTCCCTCTGTGCTTACATTGGCTCCGGCAATCCTGAAGCTTCATGGCAAGTTGGATCAGCTTAATAACTCAAGTGAAAATTAACTGTGTTCCCCACCAGCCCCAGTTCCTGAACAGCTACTTTAGCTGATGTGAGGGAACTGCCATAAATGTGCAGACAGGATGAAACAATTGGTGACTTCATTTCGGCAGCAGGCAGTCTTGGAATAACACATCAGTCATGAAATATCAGATATCATCGATAAGGTATGATTTTTCAGCAACATATGTGTTCTTCACAGTTGGTCCAATTTTCATAGGGACAGCAGAAAAAAAATTTACCATTCCCATCTTAGAAGCAAAAAATTATTTTAAAGAAAATAATTCTATGGTAATATTTCCACCAGTTTTCTTCTCAAAATGAATTATTTTCATTAAAATTTTCCTTGGGTTGCTGTAACATAACACATATTTCAGCCTGCGGTGCTACTATCCTTGCTGTTACAAGCAAATGAAAGTGAGGATCTTTCTATGGGGAGTGCTTCACAGAAGCTTCTATTCACATCTTGAGATAAGAATACAGTTGTGAATCTATAAAAGCTCCTGGCACTCCCCACACAAAGATCCTGACCTTCAGTTCTATTTAATAGAGCAACTTCCATATATCACTAGCAGTAACTACAACTCTGTGGACATTCTTTAGGCTGTTAGCAGTCATACCACTGTTAGCAGTTGTGTACTCTTGCTAAAATTGATCAGTCTGTGATTGATCTAAGTGACTTAGACTTCCCACCTTTACCTACCTGTGAGTTTAGATTTCAATATATTCATCTTAAAATGATACCTTGAATGCTCATCTACACTGCCCATGCCACTAACACAAAATTCCAAAGGATTTATAGAACTAAGTGTGTTAGAATTGGTTATTACATGACACTGATTATGGTAAGCAACCATATATTTAATTTTCCAGTTGGAATTGCCCCTTGACAGCTTCATGCAGCAATGTGCCAGAACTGAATATTAAAGTCTGACTACGCACTAAAGCAATTAACTTAATCCCCAACATTTATAAGCATCTTAATTAAATTTATGGACTCTTTCCTCTCTCATTCCCATGCTACTGAATAGGAAAAAAATAAGCTCTCTTTCAAAAATTACCATATATGAATTGATGTACATTGTACATCTAGCAGAAGATAAAGCATTCCAGAATTCATTTAGTGTGTGAAGAAATTCAGTTTAGCACAATATTTAAATGTGCTTGGAGGTATGAGCCAGGTATGTAAGTGATAAATAGATTCATCATGGTAATTGAAGGCTAAATTGCATTTGCATATTTTACAAAAAAAACCCAAACAAAACAAAGCCACCACCAACAAAGGAAGAATACAGTTTATCTACCATAAGAAAAGTTGCCTCCGATACTCATTTGTGAACACTGAATTATAAATAGGTTATAGGATTGCTCATATAGTCATAGAAGAATAAAGTCTCACATGCTATTTTCTCAATCAGTGATAGCATTAACTACAACAAAATAGAATGAAGTCATATTGCAATCTTTAAGAAACAAATTATAAGTCCAGTCTTGAAAACATTCTTCAGAATGAACGATAAAACTATTTTCAGACTCAAGGTGAAGAAAAGGCAGCTCTGCTTCTGATTCAGCTGCAAACTGAATACTAGAGTACAGCATCACAAAGAACAGGAAACAGTGCTTTAATGGGGAACACAAAATTATTCAGAACAAGCATCAGTTCTGATTAAATTATAATCAAGAAGTAGAAAATGTTATTAGGTTATTCATTTTGGCAGTTATTTTTTAAAACCCAGTATTTTCAAATTGTAGATATTAAAATAATAATTTTTTTTTTAAATCAGAAGTAGCAATATATATACCGAATACAACATTCCAGAACCAACTCTTTACAACCATCCATGAAATTTACTAAAATATTAGAAGGAAATTGCAATACATTACATTGTATACTTCATGGTAATTATTATAGGAAGGTATTTAACACTTTTATGACTTACCAGCAGCGAAGTCATTATTTAAATCTATAAATGCATGAGAGTGTGGTATATACATTTTACTTTGGGTTTCCAATGCAGCATGCCATGATAAGTTCCTACAGACAAGAATAAAAAGCAACACATTTAATCAATGCTTAGGGATTGTTAGTCATGACAATATACCTTTAAAAAAAATAATTGTGAAACCTGAAATAAAATTGAACAGAAAGCATATTCTCCTAATGCTAAGCTAAAATTACTACTTAGCTTACAATATACTAAGTAACTAGAGTTAATTGCTTGAAAGGTTCTGTGAAGGATGATTCATAACACAGGGGCTTCAATTAGATTTTACTAACTTTCTACAGCAACTGTTTTTGTACACAGAAAATTATCACTACCCATAAAGTGAAATTTAGTGCCTAGACTTCAACTGTAAATCTTGAGACACTGATCACTGTCCTCCCTGGTTTCTTCAAGCAGTTTTACTATCAGTACTTCTGAAATCTACTGTAGGATTAATAAAGATGGGCAAAAATGGACATAATCACATGCTGTTAAAGCAGCTCATGCCCGCTGCATGTAAATGGACTTTATTTTCAGTCACATAAAATCAACACAAGAATTAAACTCTCATATTATGATGGACTACAGGCTAATTATGTCATTTCCCAAGCAGGTCATACTTTATTTATAAACATACATGCACTGCTGGGTTCTGTTCTAAGAATGACTGAACTTACAGCAAACCTCCTTATTAGCAGCACATTGAAATACAACAAATCCTTCAAAAGTCATTGCCGTTGAATCATCAGATATGTTACTTTCAGAATCCTTAGCTGATACACTCAGAAAAATCTCAATATGCACTATACAATGCACTATACAATAGCAGTGATATTACTACTGGAATGATGTTGTTTATTCCATTGACATTACATACACATTACTGAAGTCCTTATGTTCCGTGACTCATTTTAGAGTAAGAAAAAAAAAATAGGCTTCTGATTACTTCCCAGAGATCATAACTCTTAGAAATGTTAAAAAGAATCACTTAATCTTAAGGATTAATTAAATATGTATTCAGTTTTTAAGATAGCCAAGAAAGTTAGTTATACAGCTGTAGTATAAATTTTAAAACATTTTGGATTAAAAAAATAGAAAAATGCTTTTCTAAGCAGTTGACAAAGCTGTTTTCCACATACAAGACTTTGCTTATGCAACCTATAACAGACTTATTTTGAGCTCTAATGAGTAAGTTTATTTGTGTCCTAATGCTACTGAAAGGACTTCTTCAGCAAAATGAAATCACTCCCACTTTTCAGTATCTTCAAAAGCTCATAAAATTTTTCAATATATAATCATTGCAAGGTGTTCAGAAACACCCTTGTGGATTTGAAATCTCTGTTCCATAATCCATCAATTTAAATAAAAGTAATGATGATAAAATTCAAGTTGGGATTAATGACCAAAAACATATTGCCAAGCAGGGTATATTTTGCATTTACAGATTTAGATGTTACCCTACATCACTTGTGAATGATCTCTGAGGAAAGGAAAACAGCCAGTTAGAAACAACAGGTATAGATTTGTTAAACTCACTGATGGGGTGGGCAGGGGAGAAAGCCTTATTTAAAAATTTCTTAAGGGCCATGGAGATGCACAATAGAAAGCTGATATATTGTTGCAATAGAGACAGAGTAATCATCTCATTGATTTCTCCAGTGGTAACAGACCTCTTTTGAAACAATAGCTAAAGAAAGCCACATAGGAATGCAAAGACTTCCTAACACACTCTTTATTTTAAAATACACTTAAGTATTGATTGTATGCAAACCCAAAACAGCTATGACACCAACACCTGGATTTCTCCTGAAACACACCAAGCTGCAAGTTACTATGTTACTGTTACTAAATAACATTCAAGACAATGCTATCAAATTTCACTTACAAGCAGCAAAGTAACAAGTTAGAAGACGCAAACTTCTTCAAACAACTAATTTAAAGGTCCAATCCTCCAAGAAAACACAAGCCCAGTTCCTAATTTTTCCAGTTATTCATTGGAAATTATTCATTATCAAAAGAAAATAGTTCTAAATGAAAATGATACGAAAACCACTTTTTTGACATCACAAAACTAAGAAGAATGTATTTATTTTGACATTTATAATCCAACTCACATCCTAAAAATAATTTCTGATATCTTTTGAGCACGTTCTTTGACAATTGAGAGAAAAATCTCTAAATCGGGGAAAGAGTTCCAATTCAAGTATCCTTCTTTTGAGGCTTCTTTCTTTTAAAAAGAATGCCCGAACCCTTACAAAAAGTCAAGGACTGAATGAATGCTAAGTTCAGTTTGGCAAAAGTCACAGGAAAAGATGTACAGACCCATATTTTTAGGTTTTTTTTAAAAAAAGGTCACCCTGTTCAATAACGAAACTTTCAATAACTCAGTGTCACACCAATTTGTGTCCTTGAATACACAATCCTAACAGCTCTCAAAAGCCAAAGCTTTCTTTTTCTTTATCAGAATACAAACTACAAAAGCAGTATCAGGTAAACTGAATGTGAACTGTCCTTCTCTAGGGTCCAATAGTGTTTTTAACAAATAACTTAAAACTTATTTTCAAAAGAGAGATTTGAAGTTTTTTGGCATCTTGCCCAATATTAGAGACATTGCTACTTCCTAATTTTTTGTTTAGAGACTGGTTCTTCTGAGTTAGTAGAGATCCATTCTTTTGTTATGCTTTGATTTCAGCATTCATACCCAAAACAGTTGAACAAAAATAATCCTTTGCATAGTCCTTACTAATCATTTAAATAGGCCGTTAAAATAATCATTTTTATCCCAGTATTTGCTAGCCATTCCCATTCTAGAAATTTCAGGGCTAGCAGAAACTTTAATGAAACTTAGTCCCCTTTACTGCAATCTCATAAGACTTTAGTCAAATTCCATTTGCCAAAGAGTGGCCTTAGTCACTCCTTAACACAAAAGATGTGAAACAGAGAACATCACTTGCATGCACACTTATATTGCTACTTAAAGTCACCTCTGCCTTATGTCTCTTTATGAATCCCAATAAGTAGATGAAATATTTTCCTTAATATATAGCTCAATACCCTTACACTTTGCACTTCCCGAACTTTTGATTTCCCATGTTGCCTAAACTTCTCATTACAATCAATTTCCTAGATGAGAGCTGAATTTTTTTTAAGTTTACCTCAAACTCCTGCACATTTTCCTTTTGCCATCCCATATATTTTAAGATCTGTTCCAGTCCTTCTCACATCATCAACCTGTCACTTCATCTATTAGACTAAATGCAGCTTAAATTCTACAGACGCTACTTAAAAACTTTGGTTTGTATTTCTGCACAGCACAGAATGCCATAATACATATTATAATAATAAATATCAAAGTGTACTCAACAAAGCAGACTATAACTGTTCCAAGAAACAATTATCAAATAATGGGGGTTTTGTTTTCTCAGCTCTCATGGAATGTCTACTTCCCCTATAAAACAACACTTGAAAAATTAGATGCAGAGTGGCATAGAATACACAGGGAAATGAGAGAATATTCATATGTTTGCACAGTTCTAGCTAAACATGAGTCTTAAGCCTCTTTAGGAAGAGCAGAAGTGATGCACAATGAATAAGTTATCAAAATTCATGCTAATAAACAAACCTTTAGCTTACCCGCCTATCAATATCTGTGGCTTACTTGAATCACTTGTGACACCAAAGATGTCAGGAATCAAGTCTCCATTAAAGCTGAAAATGCAAAACAGTTTCAGTATCACCTTAGTCATTACAGCAGTTGAAATTAACTATTTTTAAGTTAACCTGTATTTGGTTAGCATTTTCCCACCAAGCAATGAAGAATTTTCAGCTGTGTAGTCTTTTCCGAATTTTGGCTCTTGTCTGAGCTGCTTGTAGTAGTATGCTTCTTTCAGTATTTTACACTACACCATGCAATTGATTTTCCAGCTATATATCCCCCCTCTCTTTTGTTCAGCATTTCCCACAGAGGGAAGCACACTGTGAAAAGGATATTTGCTCAGTCTGATAAGCCAGTAAGGTTTTTGTTTTACAAAATTCACCAAAACATGACTGGCTGTTTTTCTGCATAAAACAGAGTACTGAAATTAAAAAATTAAAAGCTTATTTAGTTACCATTGCCAGGATGATGTAATATATAAAATTAGTAAAGATGACTGTTATGTTTCATCATCTTTTGTTAGACCAGTTGACATTACACAAACCACCTTGTTCTTAAAAGATAAAGAGCACATTTCAAATTTTAGCGTTAAAATATACTTAAGTTGCTCTTAGTTACCATTATAAATGTTGTTTCCTAAAAAAGTGGGTCATACTTACTCCATTACTAGAGGCTCATCAAGAAAAGTCTTATTTAACATAGTTTTATGGTTAAGATCTGAAAACAGAAAATATTAATTTGATTCAGTTACCAATATGTTAAGACATTTGCATTTTTAACTTCAACATAATTCTTCTTCTATTCATTTACAACCACCAATTTTACAATTAAAAAAAAAATCAGCCACCACTGAACATAAACAGCTGAACGGCTTCCTGAAATTATGCAGGAAAGGTGAGTTACAGCGAAAATGCTGAATCTTCTTCTCTCTCCACTAAACTCTTCAACAAATTATTCTAAATAGATCTTGGTGAAACCTATTTCTATGTATGACTGCAATCACAGACACATGAAATCTGAAGGAGTTGGGTTGTAGACAGTTTAAAAACTTAACATTGTACAAGAGATCTCTCTTTAATGCTTTGTCACTGTAAAAATCATTCTTAATCATATACATTGAGTGTTTGAAATGGGGATTAGAGGTAGATTGCCTAAATGGGAAGCAAGGATTTTAAGTCCTAATTGGGTTCTCTCAGACTTCACTTTTACTCGTAATCCAAACTCCTTGCCACATCACCTCCATTTCTGTCATCTCTCCAGGTTTCTCTTCTTTCCAGTTTCCACATTTTATATGACAGTACCCTTCTACTGACCTGTCTGTCACACTTCCATTACCCAAGTAGGCACCACATAACTTCCCAGTAGCCTCACCACATACCAACCATTACCTGAATTTTTAACGTTTGACTACTTTTCTAAGCCCCACATGCTCATTTGTGCCTCTCCCAATATTCGTTTATTCAGAAGCAAGACAGCATAAATTAATCCAAATCCTTCACATTCTTCCCAATACTAGAGATAACTCCTATTCACTTTATACTTGATCCAGTGCACTTTCCCAGGTTGCTTGTTTCACCTCTGATTAAAGCCAGAAGCAAGGCCATCACTTGCCTCACCTGTAACTATTTTATAACACAGTTGTTTGGAATAGTAATTATTCTTCAGTAGTTTTTGTGGACTTAAAGAGTATCTTCTTTTGCTTTTCTGTCCTTCTTCAAACCCTAAACTCTTCCCAAAACCCTTTCCTAGCAAAGTCAACAGAGACGAGAAAAGACTTCAAGAGTTCACAAAGTCCATGACTCTACCCTAAGACAGAATCGGCTATACCTAGAACACTGCTAAAAGATTCTTGAAAACTCAATTCTAAAGTTCCTGAAAACTTCCAGTGACAGAGACTTTAGACACTTCTCTCCCAAAAGCTACTTTAGTCTGTCACTGTCTTTTAAGAATTTGGTTTAACACAAGTAAGGGTGTTATATTACTGTTGGTAAGGTTAGGTATGATATTTTGAAAGTTTATGCACTAAACTTTACACCAGGTTCTCTGCGCATTTTAAATTCAAAATACGTCTTTTGAGATAATCTTTGTGAAGCTGACATGAATAATGGGGAAGTCAGGAGAAGTAGCTCTTCAGTTAGTACGTTACTGTCAAACTATATATTGTTTGGTTATGCCTGTTGCATGAAATAAAGCAAGAGTTTTAGCTTTGTTCTCTTTCACTAATTAGTGCATACAGTTTAACAGCAAGAAAATATATGGGTATGAAGCTGAATAGCTGCTCATCCCTATTTTAGTTGCAAAAGCAATCACTACGCTGTAGTGAGTTATAACTTTCTGACAATACTTTGAAGTATTAAAAAGTGTAACAATCTTATTAATAAGCAGTCTCAGCAACTCACCTAATGTTTGGTTGTGCCCCCAGAAAATAAACACTGAAAGTTCATCTTTGCCATGATTTTGTGCCTGGGTAGTCAGGAGGACATCCATTTGTGAATCACCATCATAATCTCCAGGAACTACACTGGTTATGGTAACACTGAGAGATCTAGAATTAAAAACAAACAAAAATGCCCACATGCAAATAACTGTACAAATGTGTACATGAAAACTGAAATACTTGTGTGTTCAAAGGCTTGCCTTTTCGTCTCTATTGTTATTAGTTGGTCCAATACAATACTATCCTTTAGCAATCCGTCTTTTTGTGAAGTCCTTATCTAATGCAAAAGTAACTTCAAATCAAGCATTCTGCACACTGTCTTCCTCTAAGGAAGGATGACATTTTTAACTCTAAACTTCAGCTAACAGGCATTCTTCAGCCATATCCTGTTGTAATGTTAGCTAGACTTCATTAGATCCCTTCATTTTTTGTAGAACCAGTCCTCAAAAATGTGTTTCAGAGAGCAGGATCTTTTGGTTGCATTCCAAGAGCAAGACCATAAAGCAACAGGAGTCAGACAGATAGCTAGATCTTTTTAAAGACAATGTCATCTCCCCCTATCTTCTGCCACGTCTTACCACTCCTCTCTACACGTGTTTGTTCTATCTTTTTTTACTTGGTTACCTACTCAGAGACTCTGCTTTACACAAACACACATAGATCATTCTGTTAAGAATTCAAAGCAGATCATTTCTAATGCACTAAACAAATTACCTCCTTCCAAGATAGGAGGGAATAGGGAAAAATAAAAATATATAGAACTATAGAAGATGAAGCTGAGCTATAACAGCAATTTAACTTTTAATAGACATAATACTATTAGTAAGCATTATTCATAAGCAATAACATATCCTGTAATACTATTATGGTTAAAACTATACATATATATGTACATAAACACACATTGTTTTACATTTTTTAAAAATTGATACTTTTTTTTTTAAAGCCACGTTTAAACTTTAGAAAGGAACAGTTCTCTACACAGAAATACCAGAACACCATTCTCCATATCTCATTCTAAAGCAGATGATATTGGCAGGATTCCACTAGTAACTACAGCAACTAGAAGAATTTCCCTGAAAACATGTCTTGCGACAGAGACTAATACTACCTGTCAAAAAGACTTAACCTATGATATGGAAAGATAGCTTTCTTTACTAGTAAATAAAGCCCTGAAAAAACAAGTCAACTGCAAAAATATTCCAAGATATGGGCATTTCTAATACTAATTAGAGGACAAAAAACCCAAAGCATAGAAATTCCATAAGGTGGTGGGAAGTCATGCCTGTTAGTTAACAATATGCATGACAAAACTCATCTCTGCAAATTCTGTCATCTGATCCACAAAATCCAAACAAATAAAATGAAAAATGTATCAGGAAATTAATCAGGACACTGGTCAAAGAACTGGAGCTCTAAAGGCAAGTTGAACAACACAGCCAAACAGAAAACAACAGCACAGACAATTCTAGTCACGTTCCCACTAACTGCAGAGATGCACTTTCAAAAAAAATGGCTACTTACATTGTTTCACCATTGACTATCAATACTTACTTCATTGGTAACTTAACACGGGGCTTAAAGTAGGGTTCCTTTTGGTCAGCCAAAAAGATAATCAACTCATTTCCTGCAAAAGCAAGTAAGACAATGAGTAACAGAAGAGGATTGTAAATGGTATATATACAAAACCAACATTTAAAAAGCTATGCCACAAATAGTCATTCCTCACAGTAGCAAAAACTTCAAAAGACTTCCCATACACTTACTTCTTCCTCATTCAAAAGGAAGCAAAAGGAGCACTTCTTCAATACAACCCATAAATCTAATTGCATCTCAATGGAATGCTAATATCAAGAATCTTCTTTGGGGCTTAGTGTTAGACCTTCCTGCTATTGTTATCACATCACTTAAAATAAAACTTCCTATAATGAGTTAAGAAACATTACATGTGGAAAAGTAGTAGGCATCAGCTCCATACAAATAATGAAAACTTCAAAGCTAACTCAAATTCTTTTAATACTGTCTCTGACACAGCAGGATCTGATACTGCTTTCCCAAGTCAGCTGACAAAAGCACTTTAAGTGACATTCACAGAAGTAACCTGGTTCCCTGCAGCATTTCCTCATTCAGAGGCAATGATACAAGCCACTATCATTTAATTATTTCAGGAAGATCTAAATAAAAGTCCATATTTTATTTTGCACAAATAATTGAAATTTGGGGTAGAAAAAAAAATTTAACCTGAACGATGAAATGTATTTTCAGTCAATAAACCACAACACACACACTGTTCTGCAAGTAGAATTATAGTTCATAGCTAAAGAAAAAAAAAATACAATTTTTTAACTCATCCTTTATTGTTTGTTTTCTGCATTCTCCAATAAACTCACCAGTAGCATCCCAAACTGCAAGAACTAGGTTACCTAGCTCCAAACTCGAGCTACCATAACATATTTCAAGAGCATCATTCTGTGGCAAAGTTCACAGCTGTGAAATAGCAGAATACAAGCTTCCTGGCTATGAAAAAAAGATAACTGCCATAAATGTATTTTCCAAGGAGAAGATGCCAACAAATGAGTAAATGAAAACAAATCCTTTCAAAATGGATAGGGGCGCACAGCGCAGTCCCATCTGGCAAGCTAATAAAGCCTGGGTTGCACTACACATTCACAGATGATTGAAAAAGTTGGCACACAGCAAGGTGGAGAAGCCTGCTGGCTGGTAAAGCTTTTGATAATAAAGCTGTGGGTTGACTGCTAAAACTTGTAATTCTCATTTCACACTATAGACTTTTACCTGCCTTTTTATCATCGATGTGGTAAAGTAATGATGACAATGAAGAAGCAAATGTAGTTTTACACATACCAGGTTCCAAGTCAATTATACTACTCAGAATGAGTTTTTTATGATCACTAAATATAGATTTATGAAAATTTCAGCTCAGCGCTCATCAACAGTCAAAATGAACAGACTACTGGAAAGTATTAGATGAACAGAAAACAAAATCATTATGCCACTTTATCAATCCATAGTGCATACATCCTAGATCTGTTTGTAGTTCTTGTCCTCTCATCTCAAAAATACAGAAGGAAAAAAGTACATAGGAGGGTGTGAAAAAAGGGAACAGTTTCCATAAAAACAACAATTACGTAAGTTCAATCTGAACATCTGAGTGAGAATACCACAGAATTTTTCAAAATTCCCCAATGAAATACAGAAGGTGAACAGGGGAATGATCACTCACTGCCCTGTACTATTAGAAGAGGCAAACACAACTAGAAGGTGGTAGGTTGAACAAGCAAAGAGCATGAACTTCCCCACTTATCCCTGTTTTGTGCATAGACTTAGAAAACAGGTAAGTTTATACACAATTCCATTTATTTGTATATTTTTAGTTTCAAAAATTGACTAAACCCAGGGCCTACTGGTAATTTTGAATTGTTCTTGCAACAGCATACTTCTGGATCTAGATTACCTCTTATGTTTAGCCAGTTTACCCTCTCTTACAAAGCTCTGAGTATGAACTGATTTTTCTTTCATGTATCTGAGCATATGGAATATGACTCTCATTCAGCTTAAGTAATTCAAGATCAGAACAGCAATATAAATCCAGTAAAAGGCCCAAGACATCATCCCCATTTCCTTACAAAGGGTCAGGATTATTAGGACTGGGCTTCTTTACCAGATCACTGTTCCTCAAAGTCTAGTATTATCTCCAATGCTCACTTCTTCAGCACTATTTAGAATTGGCTACCGTTTATTCTACTACTTAGAATTCTACTATTTAGAATTGGCTATTGCTTTTTGTTTAGAAAGTATTCTGTAAATTTTTCAAGTTACTTTCTGTCAAGACTTAAATCATGAAAAATAATGTTTTCAAGTAGGTTATTTCAGGCTGATTTTTACAGAGAATATCAAGTTGGAAAACTATAGCAAATGCCGCTATGCAGAAGCAAAGAAGAAACCATGAGTTTCGTTTCGCAAACTTTTAACTATTCACATTTTTATATGCTTTTAGCTGAAAGATAAGCAAGTAAAAATTAAATCTCTTATCACTGACGTTCACTTTAAATCTAATCTTTCAGTGCATTTTTTTCAGTAGATGAGCCAGTGGAGCATTTTCAAGGAGCCATGCATCTAAATTTCTCAACTAGATAGGAAATTCACTCATGCTTTACCAAAGCTACTTATAGAAACACTTCTGAGATTGAAGGAATAAAAAAGGTGTATTTGAGACTAAATTTATTATCTTAATGCATAGCTTCAAGCGAGTAAAATAATCCAGGATTAACATCCGCAAATAACGCTGACCACTGATAAGAAGCTCTGATTTGGGGTCCCCCCATATCTGAAGCCTAAGCAAACTCCTGGCAGATGACAGCTGCGTGGAACAAATTTATCTAGCCTTCCACTTTAACATAATGTTTGAGGTAGGATAACGAGTAATCTATCCTCTTTACGACTATGAAACGTTCATCTCTGTTTCCCAAAATGCCGTGAAAACCCAATTTGTGACCATTCACTCTGTGGGACGAAGTCTTTAGATTATTTCACAACCACAACTTCAACGTTAAGGTATTTCTTGCCCTATATGAAGCCATACTTCGGTGCAAGTCGCAAAGATCTTTTTCCATACAGAAAACACCTCGGGAGCAAAGCAAAGGTCAATTTTAGCCTTAGAGAACAATTTCGTTGTTCACTATGCTCGCCCTCAGCCCTACGGCAAACAGACCCCAGCACTACCCGCTACGCTTCCGAAGCCAAGGCGCGGAACAAGCGGCTAGCCAGGGGCTCACCGAGGCTACCTCGGGCCGGAAGGGGCCCGAAGGACCACCGGGCCCAACTCCCTCCTCCTCGCAGGACAGCTCCCACCGGGAAAGCCTTTCCCCACTCCTCGAGAACCGAGAACGCATCTGTCGGCCACGCAGCAGGTGCCCCTTCCCGAGAAGGCTGCCGGAAGGGAGGCCGAGGCCGAACGGCGCCCCGGACGCCCGCGCAGGCATCATGCCTCGGCCGCCCGCCGCTACCCGCCTGCCCCGCTCCGCCAGCGAGCCTTCAAACGCGACCGGGACCCCCGCCGCGCTCCTCGGCTGCGCTCCCGCCCTCCTCCGGACCGACGCCGGGAACGACGGCCCCGGCCCCGGCCCCGCTCCCGCCCCCGGAACGCTCACCGCCTCGCAGCACAAACAGATCCGTCTGCTTGTCCGAGTTGAAGTCGCCGAAGGCCGCTAGGGTCCCGTAGGCCTCCGCCCCAAAGAGCTGGGTGGTGACGTTCTGCAGGGCCCCGCCGGGCCCAACCAGGGCCAGCAGCAGGCACAGCCCAAGCCAGCGGCCGCAGCCCCCCATCCTGCAGCGCCGCGGCCCAGCTCCCCGCCCCCGCCCGCATCACTTACGGCAGCGCAGGGGTGTGCCCGGCGCAACTGCCGGCTCGCTTCCGGGACTGACCCGGAGGCTTTGCGACAGCGGCGCGACGGCCTGCGCAAGTCTCTTTACGGCTGGCGCGGGTAACCAGGCGGAGATCGCCGCCCGGCTCGCTTACTGAGGCAGGTGCCCGTGAGGCGCGAGCGGCTGTCCTGGCCAGAGCGGGGTGACGGCAGCGGCGGCTCCTCGCCGGCATGGCGGCGGCGGCGGCCCCTGCGGGGGCCCATATGGCTGATGTCAGCTGGAAGATGCTGGAGCTGCGGGCTCGCTCTAAACGTTCAGGTCTGACCCCTTGGCTTGCCCGAGAGGAGCTCCGGGGCTCCCCCTCCTCGCCAGCGCCTGCTCCCCTCTTCACTAACGGCCCCGTTCCCGCTCTCCTCTCCTTCCCTTTGCCCCGCCACCCTCCCCGAGCTCTTGGCCGACGTCGTCCCTGTGCCTGTTTTTTTCGCCCCCCTCCCCTCCCCCAGCTTGGCGTGTCACTCACGGCCGGGCGCGCTGCGGCCCCGTACCCGGCGCGCGCAGGCACTCCCCAACGGTCCCTCCGCGCGGGCTGGGCGGGCTCTTCCCGCTGCCCGCGTACCGCCCCGCGGCGGGTGCAGCCGTAATCCCCGCACGGAGGCTGCAAAGGGCGGCCTGGTTTGCTGCCGGTGCGGGACCCTAGTGGGGTGCTGGGGCAGGGGTGGGTGTCCGCGGCGAGGCAGGGCTTCAGGTGATTTACAGGTGTCCTTTGGTAGCATGGTTGAAAGGGTAGCTGCTTGTGGCGGTAGTGCTGCATGCAGTTTCATAAAGGGGCCGGGCAGATGAAGTATTTTAAAATTGCAGGCGCTTAGACAAAAGTACCTGCTTTTGCCAGGTTTCCCTTGGATAAAGATTAAACTTTTTTTTAACTTGAGAATTTCTTGTTCTGAACTTGGACTGCGTGGCAGCTACGTTCTGGCCTAAATGAAAGGGTCATGTTTACCGAGTTGGCTTGAATTTCCAAAGTACAAAAACCCGGATTCTTTAATTTATTTTTTTTTAAATTAAATACAGGTTTAGGGCTCATAATTGTTAATATTCTAATGGAAACAGTTTTCCAGATGATCCCTGTGGTGTTTATTTGTATGTCATAGGTGCTTGTAAAACTCAATTGTTATTTCCTTATTTGTGTATTTGATTGGTTCTGTTGTGGTAATGACTAATCAGACAGTGTGAAAAGGAAACGGGGCTTTATGAGGGCTCTCATAAAGACGATTGATTAAAGACTGGTCTGATTCATACGGCTTTAAAAATTCTACTTATGTGTAGTATTAATGTGCAAAATACCACGATTAAGACTGTCCTGTAAATGAGTTGTTACTTTGTGGCCAAGCATGATTACATGGTACTATTATCTGAAATTGATTTACAAATGTAGCCGTAGAGCTCTACAAAATAAAGTCTGGAACATGCATGTTTGGAGTATGTGAATCCTGAGTCACAAGGCAGCATGCTAACTTTGGGATTCCCATGCAGGTTCAGGCCCTGTGGCTGCAGAAGGCATTTGGATGATGTTAAATGCTTCAGTTTTTCTTAACTGCCTTCTACTTTTTTGTTAAATGTATAAGGAAGTGTCTTCTGTGACAATGACAGATTATTATTGTAGTTCACTTCCTTCTTTTCCTGTTCATAGAGATTTTGTCATTTTTATAGTAACTGAAGAAATTTATTTACTCAAGAAATAAAGATTATTTTAGTTGAAATGCTTTTCTGGTAAAAGAGTTGATTTAAAAATCAAATTTTATATATAATCTTTCAGGGAACATTTTTATCTAAAAATGAAAATCATGTTCTTGTTTCTCGAATTTATTCCTGCATCTTTATAAGTATGTTGAAATTTGTATAATTTCAGAGCTTTTATACTTCCTTTCTGGCACTCTCAGAGACATGGTTGGTATAGTCATTGAAAGTGGCTGAAACTCCCCCGTACTGTTCTGAATTGGCTGAGGTCCATGCTTGAGACTCCCAGCTTACAAACAGTACTGTTGGTTTAGGGTTTTTTTTCAGTATGATGCCTGGAGTAAGATATAGTCAACATGGGGTATAGACACATGTGCATGAAATGTGCATGACACATGTGTCTATACCCCATGTTAACTAGCATGAAATGCACATGTGATTCATGTTTTATAGCTGACAGCAAAGTATCATTTAAGACCCTATCCTGTTGGCGGTAATCCATATCTTCATGTTTATGTATATTAAATTATGAATTACTTTTATTGCTAGTAAACCCAAATTTTATTGAGAATTTTTTCGTTCCCTTCCTTGAGCTATGAAATACTGTTTCATTCACTGCAACTGTGATAATTAACAGTTAGGAGCAGATTATAAAGATACTCTGTAGTTGGCCAGTCCGCAACCACTGAAATTTTGGTTACTTTAAAAAACATAAACTTCTTGAAAGATTTGGAAAAACTTGTCATCATAGTTACAAACAGTATTTTCTTATTTTACATTGCAAACTGGAAGATGTTCTACTTCAAATTACTGAGATATTCAGTACCATAAGCAATATATACGACTGCAAGTAACATCCTAGTGTAAATTCCACATGGGATAAAAGCAGCACTATGCATAAGCAGAATTTTAGCTCCCCGTGCTTACTATTACTTAATGCTTTTATATGCACTAGTTAAAACAGTATTTTTATTTAATCTTTAAATATATCAAATAGATTTTATTCAGCACCTTTTGATGTTAGTAGCAAATTTCCTATTGAATATCAAAGCTACTGTCTAATCTCCAAAAGGGACTTTGTGTAGACTGTCATTTTATTCAGATAAGTTTTACGGAAGTAAAAGCAAAATAAAACCAATGTTTAGGCTAGAAGAGGGAAACATAGAATGTAATGAAACTTTACTACCCTTTGTGCTGTGCACTCTGTCATGCTAATAACTCCACTAACATTGCTTTCACTTAATTTAATGCTGGTTGCCTTTAACATTTACTAAACAGTTTTGAAAATTACTATAGCTTAGCCTGAGACGTTTGTGATTAGCTGCACCAATTTGAAATGGCCAATTTGGATGATGACAGAACCTCCTCTGCGCATGGTTTTTTAAAATTTGGTAAGTGTGCAGTTCTGTGTTTTGTTTTTGTTTGTGGCTATTTAACTCAACAAAAAAATGTGTTTTGTGTTTATGCTAGCAGTTTTTTAGCACTGTACAGTAGAACTTAAATATTTGAGCTCTTTCAGTGAAAATTTGTGAAAATTGGAATCTACTTGGATTGAAATCTACTGTTCAGATCTTTCTATTTTGTTTGTGTTTTGTGTTCTTCTAGGTATCTTTCAGTGTGACAATCTCTGAACTGAAATTTCTCTTATAAGATGACGGTCATGTGAAAGGTGCACTAAGTATGGTGTTTAGGATTAACTCCTAAAAAAATCCAACATGACTGGTTTAGAGAAAAGAAGTAAAAATTTCCAGTAAGTCAGTCATTGTTCTAAAGCTTGACTTTTGGAAATTAAGTGGAAGCAAAATAAAGCCCCTTGGCACAGCTTCTCTTTAGGTACAACAGGAGCTAGAGTATATGAAGTTGTCAAGGCTGTTACTGATTTAGCTCAATATATTTTGAAAAGAGTTTGATTGGAACAAATGTGTCCATATGTGAAGGTAGCTGATCTGGGTAAAACTGTATAGGAGTCTTGTTTAGTCTGTGTTGAAACACAGAAGCAGTACAAGCGCTAGTGATAGTAACCAGGTAAGGGGATTTCAGCTGCCTCTTGCCACAACTGAGTCACTTGAACTACCCTGCCTTGCCTGTGGCATTTCTGGTTTGCCTCTGTTAATGTCAAAGGACATGTGAAGTGTTGACATGGTAATAAAAAAAATACTTGTTCCTAGTTATTACATTGATACTTGATGTTTCTTTAGTTATGGTGCAAAATAAACGTTTCTAGTAGTTTTAAGAGCTGTTGTTTTGAGTTCTCAGAAATGGCAATGACTGCCTTGAATATCCTGAATTATTTCTGCCTTGCTTGTAGCATTTCCAAGGCTGGTGTGGCAGACTTTGGCATTTTGGTGTATGTTGGTTCTCTGAAGATCCTGTGTACTGGCATGACGGTCAATGTTTTATTTCTAGTGTTCAGTAACTTCTCTGTGTTGTTAGTTACTGTAAATCCTGAAATCAGTAATTTCTGTTAAGTATAATATACTGCAGAGAGAAGTCACTTCAGCTGATTAGGAAATAGAGAAAGCACAAAATAAATTGGTACATATTTTTCTTTTTCCATGTAATTCTAATTGAATTATATGTCCAGTCTAACACATGATTTGTCTTGATAGACAATAGTTGAAAAATTTTCTTGCTTTAAAACTATTTAAATGAAACTATTACAAGATTTTACTTATTTTTACCTGTGGTGTTATCATCACTCAACCTAGGTAACACTTTGTACCTCGTGTTTACTCCTAATGTTTATTCACATACAGGAATACCATAATACCTTTTTGTTCTTCCTCCCCCAGCCCCTCACCTGGGGTTTCCTTACCACATTTTCATTAAATTGTAGAACAGTTCAGTTTGGAAGGGATGTTAGGAGGTCATCTACTCCAGCCTCTCGCTCAAAGCAGGGTCAGCTATGAGTCATAGTTTCCTCCTGTATGTAGTGATTAAAAATCCCCACCAGCAACAGCATAGTTGGTACATGTGAAGTTCATGGAATCAGAGTTCAGATATTTACATATGTGAGAAGTGACTTTTCTTTCTAGTGGAAGTGCTTCAGAAAATTATTTTCTTATATCATCTTGCTCAACTACATGGGTTTGGACTTAAAAGCAGATGTATTTCATGGCAGACAACTATTAGAATAAACTGTATGGTATCCAACAGTGTTTCTGTCCAGTACCGTGTTAAGTGAGCTCAGGAGAGATTGCAGAAGTCTCGAGGGAAAGGAAATGTGATGTTGGGAGGATATGATTTGTTCAT